ACCATCTTTTTTGTTTGCTTCACTGTTCGGTGGTCCATTTTGCATTTGAACTGATTGCTGTGTTTTAATTTATTACTTTGACACACTCATGGCACTTAATGCCATAAACATGATTCTTGATTACGCAGTTAGTTACATCCACTTTAAGAGCTTTTATAGAGGGGGCTGCACAGGGAGAGAGGTAGGAAGAGAAAAAAGATCTGTTATTTTAAAAACAGCAGAACACTATAGTCTTGAGGAATTCTGAATTCTCAGCAAGGATGGGTAATAACTGAAAGAGGAAACATTGGCTCAACTATATAGAATTTGATAAATTTAATACTTGTGCTGCTTTCTACTGTGCTAGGTGTTCAATAGTAATTTTCATACTGTGCTACAAAATGGTCACACGTTTGCTAATTTAATCTGCTTTTAGTGATGTTGAGGGACATTTGGTCTCTTGGGAGAGTACAGTATGTATTTATGCCTTAGAACTCAATTGCATAGATGCACACATGTTGGAGATCAAAGGAAGAGATAGTTTCTTTTCATTTTAAGAAGGACCTTAAAAGAAGTTCTCAGCACAAGTGAGACAACATTTTATTTAGAAACAATAAGAAGTAACTGAATCTAGTAAATTATTCCCACAAACCACACTTCTGAGAGGCATATAAAAGATTTTGAAGTTAATAGAGGAAATCTGCAACTATTAAGAATATGCCACACATTTAAGTCTCTTTTCTAGTCCATGTTAAAACCAGTTAGGAGAATAGAGGAAGCAGAAGTTGAAAAACAAAGAATCTAGTGAACTGTGGCTTTCTTAAATAGCCTGTAATTTCATATTAAGTTAATTAACTGTGGCACAAAGACTTAGTTGGTTTTTCAGTTCTGTTCTATATGTAAATAATGTTCTTTAATGTAATTAGTATCTTAACCTTTTGTCGTGGATTGACAACTGGTAGTCAGTTTTAACACTCAGTTGAACTGAATCAGCATGGTGCTGGGTATGGAGGACCCACTTGAAAGTTGTTGCCAACAACATTAAAAAAGAGGACTGGAGAGGAAGAGATGGCTCTGTTGGTTCTCCTGGAGAAGCAAGTCAGGCTGGTTTTGCTGATAGGAACTTGGCTGTTGTCATCATCAGAGGGAGGAGCTTGGGATCTCATTGTTACTGAGGATGGCTGCAGTCCTTTCAGGGGAGCTCTGGTTCTTACTTTGAATGTCCCTTCCTTGCCCCAGTGCACATCCCTCCACCTCCTGTCTCAGATCCTTCGTCCCCTGGCACAGACTTTCTGTCTTCCACTGCTGACCTTTCAGTCTTTTCAGGATAGATCCTTCATGCCAACTTGCATGAAACATTATTACAGGTTTTAGGCCTTCAGCTATGGGCTCTAGGTCTTCTGCTGCACTCATGCAGGATGTTGCTGTGGGATTCAGGCCCTCAGCTGGATTCTTTAATTCTCTAGTGTTTGTATAGATTTCCTGTACTCTTTATGTGTTAGACTCTTTGGGTGACTTATAAAATAATCCTATAAACTATGTGTCTTGTATTATGTCTTTTTCCTTGCAAACTCTGACTATAACACGTTTATTTTCAAAATAGTCTGACATTCTGGTATCAAGTTCCTCTTTTTCTCCATCAGTAGCTTAACATATTTAGTATTGGTTTGTTTCCATTGTGTTGTATGTGTATTTTTGTTACGATTTTCTCCTTCAGTTCTGTGTTTGTGCTAAAGCTTTTGGTATTTTATTGTACTGGAATTAGAGAATGAGTTCTACATTTTAAACTTTTAAATATACCAAGATTTTTCTATAGTCTTTTATAATTATGTTTTACTGTTCGATGGAAGGAGAAAGTATAGTTTGCTGCGAATACACAGTGTGTGCAGTATATTGGTTCTCAGATCTTGCCTGCTGTAGCCTTGCCTGCCAAGAACTAAAGCATCATGGTGGTTTCTCAGGCAATGCTGTCTTGTCAATTTCCTCGCTATTTGATATATAGACTCATAAAAAGCTTATATATGTTTAAAATATAAAATTAATATCTTTTTAATTCTACTTTATATATTAGATTTCTAAAAAATTATTTAGACTGACCTTCATTTTGTCCTTTTTAGTCTATAGGGACTTGTTTTATTCCTTTTTGCTTATATTATTGAAACGTGTTATATGTATGTTTGGGTGTAATAAAAGTTGTAGATCTTCTAGGTCCTTTTAAATTCATCAAAAAGCAGTTGAGTCAAAAATTTTCTAACCCAACAAATATGCAGTGTTCTTTGGTTTTAGAGTTTCAAAATAAAGATACCTTTATGGCTTTCATTGTTTTAATGCATACTCACTTTTATAAAATACTAAAATTCAGAAAATGAAAATATCCTCATAATCCTGTTCTCTAAAGATGACAGCTAATAAACTTGTTGTGAATGTGTGAATAGATCATATATAAATGTATTCTAAGTTTTAGCATAAATGAGATCATAATCTTCGTGATCTATAACCTACTTTACTTAATAACATGATCAGTTCCACACACCAGTACCATACAGGCTTTGGACTTGATTTGGCTTGTGAGAGTTCCTTATACAGTACTGTATGAATTCCTCAGCCCCATTCTATCACATGTACACACAAGCTCCGAATCTGCAGGCATTTTATTGAACAACTGCTACATCTTAGTTTAGTACGTTATATTATGGTGTGATAATTGATATTCACTACAAATTGTTACTGGGGTTTAGAAATACAATATTGTGGTAGAAATAAGTACCATATTGTATGTAAATTACTACCATAATGTGGTAGAAATAAGTATAAGACACAATGTCTGACCCTCAAGGACCTTTAAAATCTAACTGCAAGTTACAAACACAAAAAGTTAAATCACAATAAAAGATAAATTGCCAGTACTCTAAGCTGTTGCATACTCCCTTCACTGAGGTTCCTGTTCTTGAAACACCAACTAAACGCATTCATTATTTGCTTCCCCAAAAAAACAGCCAATTTGAATCAAAGCATAGCTTAATTCGTCTGTGCCTAGCTTTTGGTAAGTTCAAGAAAACACTTATTGAATTAAATGTAATTCTAAGCAGTGTGTCTTTTGTGATGCCATGTTTTAATTGTCTTTTTAAATCTCCCTACTTTTATTAGTAAAATAACTCAAATAATACACTTATAAGGAAATATATTACTGTTATTACTTTGAGGTATATGTGTATTTTTTTACCTATCATATTATGTTAAATCTGTGTGCTTGATCTAGTTTATGTGGAAAGGTAATATACAATAGAGGCTGTCTTCAGCACCTAGTCTTTTGAGTACTTTGTCTCCGTAGCAAAAGTGCAGAAAAATTATATCCCTGGTTTAGGCTGTGTGTGTGAGAGAGAATGGAAACAAGTTGTATATTGACCTAATCACCAGATGCCATATTATTTGGCATAACAAGCTAACTGTTAAGAGACCTAGGGACAACCTTTTCTTATATGAAGATCCTGAGTTCCACAATGCTCCGTGTTTTGTTGTGCATAATTTGCAGTCACTAGAGCCTTAGGCTTCTGCCTCATACTCTGTACAATTTAATACTGTCTCTCTTCATAAAAGTAGAACTTAAGTAGATAAGGGAAGGTTAGGCAAAATTTAAATAACTAGGAACAGTGCATTCTGCTAGAGCAAAGAGGTCTAACTTCTCAGAGTTTGTGGCCCCTTTTAAAAATTGTGTGAAAAGAATGAAAGACACTCTTCCTGAAAATTGGATATACACACGAAGAATTGTAGTCTCTTTCATAAGACTACTCATGGATTGCCTCGTGGTCTGTAGTTCTCACGAGGAGCACTACAGAACCAGTAATTATCATACTGTATCTCTGTCATGAATTAGATTGTAAAATGTTGTGCTTTTCAAATGAAGACAGTCAGCTGTGCCCAGGAAACTAGTCTAAGACCTGGTGTAAATGTAGCCCAAATCCTCGCAGCCTGTCTTATAAGGAAGGAGAGGGCAACAGGAGCTGTGGATCTGGATTGAGGCTTTTACATTAAACACCACATATTTAACATTTTTATGTGCATATTTATCCAGATATATTTGTATGACTACCAGATAAAGTACTACTTTGAGAAAATTGTTTAATTTCAGGATTCTGCCTTCAACCTTGGGAAGCATTAGAGTTTTATTTCTCTTCTCTGCCAATTGAAATATTTTAGTGGAAAAGTTAGAGAAGTTGTGTGTAGAGAGCTAGTGGAACAGGCATATGTTATATTTTTGTGAGTGGATGATACAGATGTATAGACATCAAATACATATTCTGTCAGTTAATCAGTGAAGAATGAAATTCTTACGGGAGAATAGGGAGAAGATTGTGATCCTGCATCTGTGCCCCTGGTCTTCATGTGCTTGGCATGCTTTTGTCTAGTAACATGTTTGTCGCCTTTTGAGATAGAGGAATGATGACTTCAGGATGAGCTGGCTTGCTTCCCATCCCTTCAGTTTTCTGCAGCAGTGTGTAGGTATTTGGTAGACTTTACCAGCGAGACCACCTGAGACCTGAGAGTTCTTTGTGAGAAGGTAATTTGTAACATCTCTGATGATAAAGGTTTATCAGTGGTATTGATCATCTTGAAGAACGGGCTTCTGATTTCTCTTCATGTTGTTTTGTGTTTGATTTCTGCTCTGCTCTTTAGTCTTTCCTCTTGCTTACTTTGAGTCAGTTTGCTTTTTTCTTATTTTAGTGACGTAAGAACTCCAATTTGAAGCTGTCTACTTTCCTGTGTATATATTCAGTACTGTAAATTTCTCCTTGGGTATACTTTTGCTAAGATCCTGCATACAAAAATCCTTTTCTGTCATAAAGCCTTTGCATTATCCTGATTTTTTGTCTATATTGATGGAGAATTTCTAGTTTTTATTTTACTTAGCAAGAAATATAATTGTTTCATGAAGTTCTTAAACTTTAAGAATGGGAAAACGTCAAGAGGCCTTATTTCCTTCCTCCATCTGTGTAAATGTTTTTCTTTGGCCTCTTTAAAAGGGAGAAGATGTGAACCGGACACTGGAAGGGGGAAGGAAGCCTCTTCATTATGCAGCAGACTGTGGACAGCTCGAAATCCTGGAATTCCTGCTGCTGAAAGGAGCAGATATTAATGTATGTAGAGAATGTATATTGGTACCTAAATACATGTGTAATGTATGTTATTCTAGAAAAAATACTGTTGTATAATTTGAATAATTGTTTCTTTAAATTTGTGAAATAGTTACTTGCAGAAGCGTCCAAAATTATACCAAATTTCCCATAACTTAGAAATATAAGTTGGGATTTAAAAAATAAACCAAATAAAGTTGACATTTTGAAGCTGACAAACGGAGGGTTACACATCTTCCCCGTGGCTTCTGCTTTTCAAGTTCTGCAGCTTAGGGTATTGGCACTTCCTGTGGCTAGCAGATGCTGTTGAAGTAAAGGAGTCTAGGACTCCACAAAGTCATGGGCTACATCAAAACTGGACTTTGAACAGTGGTCAGGTGTGAACAGCCATCCCCTGACTTCAGGCTTTTGTAACTTTTGCAGAGTTTCAAAAGATTGTTGTAAGTGATGATGAGCTTCCACGTTCCGGAAATACCAGGTCACCAGCCCAATTATGGCAGTCTTCCTTTACCTCCTGACCAGTTGTATCCAATCTCCTCTTCCCTTTCTGTAACACATGGCATTTCTACATTACTATAAACTGTAGGCTCAGAGAGGCTAAAGAGTAAGTCACAAAGTAAGTGTCAGGTGTAGGATTTGAGCTGGGGTCAGAGTCCTTGGAAACAACTGTAAGCTACTTGGTAACATTTCTCAAACAACTAGAATCTACCTCTGAAGAAAGATTCTATATAATGTACAGAAAGGCAAAATAATACTTATTAGTTTAGAAATATTCACAGAAATTCCCTAGTTATATCTAAAAATAAGAACGAAATGAACATGGATAAGTTGTTCTTCGTTGTTTAACAGGCTCCTGATAAACACCACATTACCCCGCTTCTGTCTGCTGTTTATGAGGGCCATGTTTCCTGTGTGAAGTTGCTTCTGTCAAAGGTGAGACCAATGTTCATTACTCCTGCTGTCTTTCCATTATCCTGTAACTAAGTATTTAGTATTTAATTTATATAAATCTTGCATGGCTCTAAGGACAGAAAACAAGAGGCAGTCACCAAAATCAAGTCTTGGGATAGTGCTACTCAAAATAGCTGGTCCAGCCAGGGATTTTTAGCACAGTGGTACAGCACCTGCCTGGCAAGTGTGGGGTTCTGAGTTCAATTCCCAGTACTCCGCCCCACCTCCCTCCCGCAAAAGATAGCTGGTCTCCATACTACGGATGGAGAGTTTGAGCTAGTCTGTTTCATCAAGAAAATATCATTATGAAAAGATAAATGAATATTATTTGAAGGAAGCAGTACGTAGTAAAGTAGAAAACTTCACATTTCAGAAATAGTCTGCAACTTGGGGCCAGCCACAGGCTGAGAGTGGTACTGGCTTGAAATTTGGAAACTCAGTATTTTAATAGTTCACACTGAGCAAGATTAGATATTTTACTGTAACTGATGGCTAAGCCAGCAGCTTTCCAATGTGGTTGAAATAGTGGTAAATTTGAAATTTCTCAATGTGTTTTGTCTTTGCTATTACATGTGAACTCTTAGTTCAGAATCCAGCCTCGGGAGTCAACCAGTTAACAGCAAAAGCAGCCATTCTGGCTGTATTTCATGTTGGAAAGCATGTTTGTAAAATAGGGGACTAGTGTTAATCCCAACATTACCATTTCATGGCCATTCTATGGAAAGTGCTACTCATATTATTTTCATTTAAGATATTAGAATAAAACATGATAAAAGAAACAACAAAGAATCTAAATTAGCTTGAGGTGCTGGCACACACCTGTAATCAAAAGTTCAAGTCCCACCTAAGCAGCTTGGTTGCTGTCTCAAAGTTTAAAAGGGAAAAGGAGGATGCTGGGGTTATAGCTCATTGTGAAAACCTGTGGTTCAGTCTCCAGTGCCACACCAATAATTAATTAAATGTAAATAAATCACTAGCAGAACGCTTGACACATAAGCATTTAATAAATAATAGCTTTTATTATAATTATGACTGAAAAGAATTTTATGCTTCATAGGTTGAGCCACAATAAGGCATGTTAGAAAAGAAGTAGCATGAATCTCTTAGCCCTTTATGCACAGCTCTTTAAAGACACAGCTCTAAAGATAGTCCTCTAAAACTAGGCGTTGTTCTACTCTTAACTTCATGTTAAACACTGGATGTTTTAAATATGTATTTGTTGTTGTTTTGCCTTTTGGGTATATACCTGCAGCAGTTTTCAGATACCACATACTGTACTGATAAGAACCCAGGCAGATCCCCCAAAACAAAAATGAATGGCAACATTATCCTCTGATACCATAGAGGGTGCAGCACCTGTGAGACGGTGTACTTACAGGGATTTCCAGGAACTCTGTGGGTCGTTCCCTGGCACCTGTGAAGAGATTGCAAAATACCCTTAAAAACTGCTAGATAATTTCATCCCCAGGGAATTATGTTTGCTTTTATTAAAAATATTGTCGCCATGGGCAATAAACACTGATGTTTTGCTTCATAGAAAATTTGTATAATTCTAGTATTGTTAAGAGTTAGTACTCTGTATTGCAAGTTCAGAAACCAAGAATTAAACAGTGGAGAGATTGTATTAACTCAGAGAACTGAAGAGTTGAGGCACAGCCTTAACCATGGTCTTAGACCACGTGATCAAGCTTCAGCTTTTTGACTCTCAAATCTATCCTAATTTAATTTCCATGGCCTCAACCTATCTGTTAGCAGAGTGTATAGTAAAAGAAATGAATAAATTCTCTTTCCCCTCCTTTCCTGACCTACTCAGCTAGCAGCTTTGTTCTTTAAAATAAAAACCTCCAATGAGATCTTGTTGGCTTCAGATTATTTACTAAACAAACTACCTTATACCTATCTGAAGGTATACATCCAAAATTTTCTTTCTGATGGCTTTCTCTTCTTAGGAAAGCAAAACAAGGCATGTCATTGTTATGCTAAAAAGGTAGAACCACTGTTCTTAATGTTCCCTTATTCTCAAAACATGATGCTTCAGTTCATTAAGGCCTGGCGGTTGTAGTTTCCATTGTTACAAAATCCTCCATATTAAAGAACTGAAAGCCCAGCTTGACTTACATGTACATAAGCTCCTAACACATTAGTCTGCAGTAGGTACCGTGTCACTTAAGTATTGAGTTGTCTAACTTCTAAAATAACTTTTCCTTCTACTCAAACCATTCTTTTATTTGTGCCTGAATCTTGTTTTGTAGCTAAATAAATAACATTCACAGAAGATTTTGTTGATGGCAGATCAGTTGTGGCCAGGTAGAGCTGCTGCTTTGTATGAAGAAAAGAATTTTTATTTTGTTTACTTTTGAAAACAGTATAGAAATTTTTAATTCTAGCTCCACAATTAATTACTTTTATCTTATTGAATGAGCTTCTTTAATTTTTTTGGACTCTATTGTTCTCTTTTAAAAATCATTTATTACTAAAATAGGACTATTAGGTTTACCTTTTAAAGGTTATCAGTATTTGTATTAGGTCTAGTTCTGCCTTATATAAAAGTAGAATCCAGTAGATTTCAAAGTTATTGACATTTAGACTATATAATTAGCCTAGGAAGTAAGGAAAGAATGAATCACCGTTTGGAAGTACAATATGATCACAGCTAACTCTAGAAGGTTATGGTTTTTGTCTAGATATGTGTGCTCCCTCCCACCCCCCCAAGCCTCATGCAGTCATAGGGTTGCTTTTCAGAAGTGGCTGGATCTGGAATGTATGGTGCTTGAATCCATTGTGTATGATTACTAAATCAATCCAATGATTGGTTTGGCTTAGTTCTGGCTAGGGTGTGAGTCCTACATCCACCCTACAGTACATAGTCTCCACATGTAAGAAACAGAAAGAGAGCCAATGTGTTCTCACCTTCTTACCCTGGGCTGTTGCCCCTCTGCAACGCCCCCTGCCAGGTCACCCTTCCTTGGAGCCTGCCAGTGGTGGACTGAAACTTCTACAAACTGTGAGCCAAATAAACCTTTCCTCCTTTAACTTTGAGTGTCAAGTATTTTGTCTCAGCAATAAGAAAAGTAAGATGGAGGCTTACGGAAAAGTTGCTAAAATATTTGGGATCTAAACTATCTGTGATATATCACTTATAATTTACTGTGAAGTCAAATATTATTATCCCTATTTTTATGGATTAGGAAACCATTTGTCTCAGAGATGTCTCAGTGCCTGAAAGTCAAACAGAATACAGGGAATCAAGATTTGTTACAAGATGTATGATTCAACACCTGTGTTAATTCCGCCTACTTGAAATTGGCTTTCAGAATTAGCCAGTACAGTTATGAGAAATGGATCCCGTCAGTATCTCCAAACAAAAAGAATGTGCACCTGATTGATTGTTGAATTGATAGAAAAATGTAGGCAACAAATGTCAGGCTTCTACGTGAAAATGAAAATGAGATCTCAACACGTCGTGCTATCCTTTGCCTTTAGTGACAGAAGAAATGCTTTAGGTGAATGAAATAACACCTGCTTTGAACCATGAAAAGTGTTTCATTAGGCAGGAAACTATAATGAATCCTTAAAAGACAGAAAACAGACAGGGTAGGGTCATAGAAGAAAAATTTCCAAATATGGTAGAAGCTGATCCTCGACTGCTCAAAGCCAGCTGATACCCAGGAGCACTGAACAGTGGGTGGAGTGATAAGTTGCATGTGCTTCAGGAGGAAAGAAGATGCAACAAGAAGTCAGTTTGTGAACAAAGCTAACACCAAGGAACCAGTAAATAATAAAGTAAAAGGTAGATGATTAAAGCTCCTGGTGCTTTCGCCCCATCCAGAGTATGAGAAATATTATCAAAGTTGGTAAGAGGAGGTAAGGGGAAGGACAGAAGTGAATCAGGTACAAATACAAGGTCCAGAAAGATTGTGGGAAACTGAACTATGGTAGAGGAGTGCATGTGAAAGAGGAGTTCACGGCAGAGAAATGACAGCAAACAGCGTAGCACTCTGTAGACGTCAGTCAGGCTCAGCACAACTTCACCCCGTTTTTGTCAAAGCCACAACAGGCAAATGCGTAATCATGTGTCACTTAGAATTGTAATTACCTCAGTTGAATACGGTTCTTTTTTTTTGTCCTAAAAATCTTAACCAGGAATTTTTTGATATAAAATATTGTTAATCACTTTCCTATTGCTGGAAAAAAATACATAATACCCAGAACCTGAAGAAGGGAGAGATTTATTTGGCTTTATTTTGGTTTTTAGAGTTGGCCGGCTCCAAGGCAGAAGGGGCATGGTGGAAGGGCGTGGCAGAGGAAGATTGCTCACTTCCTGGCAGCTGGGAAGCACAGAGGAAAGGGAGGAGTCTGGGACTGGAACGGGCCCTTTCACGTCATGCCCCCAGTGACACCTTTTACGCTTTGGGGGCACATTGTAGAACTAAGCAAAAGTGTCCTGTCACCCAAAATCGGCTGCATTTTTTCTTAAAGGATCATCTATACGTTGCAGACCATGGTCGCTTATAACTTCACCTCTGACAATACACTGGTGTGCTGGCATGGCTTCATTTCAGTAAAGTCTCATTCACGGACACAAGTGGGCCGTAGTTTGCCAGCAACTCCTGCTGTAGCTCACAGTTTAAAATTGGTGGTGTACATTGTTTTAGAACCCTCACCCGTCAGTGGCAAATAATTCTTCCTCAGTGCTGCAAGTCAGGTGTATCTTCCAGATGTTTTTATTAGACTGTGCTAGCCCTTAGTTGTTAGAAAGTTTTATTAACATCCCCAAAGAAGAGCTTTAGTACAGTTATCTGAGATTATCATAGTTCATACTGAACTTCTCTTTCTGATCTAAATCTCAAATATGTGAATACTAGCAGTAGTGCTTGAGCATATCATTAGTAGAGAATTAGTCATGAAATGGAATTTTCATACAATATTATCAGCTAATGGGATTTCCTATGTTCAAAATTTCATTATTTTAAAGTTACAGA